GACTGGCACTGCTCTGGCTCCTGCCACCCAGCAGACCTGCTCCCAGGGCCATCTGATACCTGCTGAGTTTCTGCAGTGTTTACCTGAGTGACTCTAGGGAAGTCTCTTTACCTCTTTTGGGCTTCATATTCTCCAGCTCATCAGTTTCCCAATGAACTCAAAGGTTGACAGGGTTTAAATAGCTGCCCTTTCATTAACAAGCACCTGGACCAGGTGAGTGGATGGATGTCTATGTGAGAGGTAAGTCATCCCCAGCTTGCAGGGTTAGTGGGACTGCATGTGTGCCAGTCCAGATTTTGCCAAGTGCAGTATTAAACTCACATCAGTAGACTAGCAGTAATCTGGAAAATAAAGCCAATCTTACTTTACAACCACTCCCCCCCTCCCACACCTTTTCCCAGGCAACGCATACCTGGGGGGCTAGGATTCTCCACAGGTGCCACCTTTTCTAACGGCTCCCCAAAGGAGGTGGCACAGAGGAAAAGCAGGAGCTGCCAAGAAACCAGTGAGTTCATCCTGGTGAGACCAAGCAGGTCCTAGAAGTGCCCTGAGGCCGACACAGAGAGAGGGAACAAAGACTAGGTTAGGCACAGGGTCCAGGCTGGGTGCATGGGTAAGAGCCTAGTGTGAAAGGGAGAGTCCTCAAAGACAGGAGAAGATCCCTGCCCATGGAGGCTCCCACCGGAGAGGCAAGTCTGAGCAAATATATCATGGAAATGAGAATGAGACTACTTGCACAGTGACGTCAAAGCTGAATTCATGCTAGGTCGGGATGGTTGGGGAGGACCTCCTGGAGGAGGTAAGGCCTGTAAGGTTAGGGAGGAAGGAAAGATTCAGTTTGGTGGAAGGGGAAGGACTGCTTAAAAGTTGGAGAATGGCCAGGATTCCGAATTTCAGGTTTGCTTGAGGGGATTGCTGGAGAAAGGATGGGTGAGATGCAGTGTGTTGGAGTTGGGGCAAGGACTTCAGGACGCTGAGTGGAGGACTTTGAGGGTCCAGCCTTCTCTTTGGAGCCTGGGAGAAGACACTTCTTTCTCCGTGCTGAGTTCTGCACAAATCATGACTTTCTGTGCCTCCCCCTCCCTATTAGAATGTGCCTTCCTGAACCTGGCCCTGTTCCCTCCTGCTGTAATAGAAATTTAATTCTTTTCCTTTTCTTAAAAAAAAAAAAAGGGAAGAAAGAGGCAATCATCTTGCTCTTTCTTATAGCCCTCATGGCCTTGAAGACTGCCATTAAATTGTCTTATTGCCTATAACCAGGAAAGAGAAAAACCTTTCCCTGATTTATCAGGTCAATTGTCTCCCTAGTCTATTCTCTGTGGACTCTGAGAGGCTATGAATTGAATTGGCCTCATCATTGTGGCTATTGAGATGGGAGCCCTGACCCTCACTTACCCGGTTCCCCTCACCCTGTCATGCTCCCTCCACCTCTACCCCATCCCGCCTCTTCTAGCTCCCAAGTCCAATTTCTCTTTGAAAAAAATCATCAGGCCCTTTAAGATCGTCCAGCAAACATGATTAAAGATGAATTTCTGAGAAGGCAGGGACACTGCAGGCTGAACAAAAAAGGTTGTTTTGCCCCTATCCTCTACTCTGGGGTCTTTCTCCCTGGACAAGGAGAAGGTGGGGTTGGGGAGGAACATTTGTTCCCATCAGCTCCTAGTGGTTGCTCAGGCCCATGCATCCCTCTGCTCTGGTCTCTGCCCCTCTCCCAGTCTCCCAGCTTCCTGCAGGACTCAGACACGGAGTTAAAAAAGTAAGAATCCTGAAATGGGACCAGGAGGACTTGAATCTCGCCCCAGCTCCGCCCTCATTCCCTGTGAGACTTCAGCAAGTCACCCCCACCCCCACCCCCATCTCCAGGCTTCATCGGTCCATCTGTAAAATAAGAGCACTGGATCAGATTGGTCACCAGCTGCCCACTCAGATGGTTACTCATGCTTGCAGACTTTGATTCTGTGACACCCTGAAACCCAGAATGCAGCTTTCTGCCCTGCCTTAAGACCCAGACCCAGGGCATAGAAGCAGGACAAATTCATCAAAGAAAACAACGTAAAAGCATTTCAGACCATGGGTGCACAGAGTCCAGGCTGTTGTAGAAACCATTCCTTGAGCATCAGCTTGGTGCTGGTGCTTTGCTAGGTGCTAGGGGTGCATGGGTGTGCTCAGACACAGAGTTGCTGCCCCTGAGACTGCAAGTCTAGCAAGATCATTTCAAAATAACACTGCAAATGACATACTGGACGCCGGAGCAGCGGGCAAGGACTGGGCACAGAGGGAACATAAGGGCCTCCAGTCGGACAGGAGGGTGGAACTTTGCAGGGAGAGAGAGAGTGATGAGGCCAGGAAAGGGGCCACACAGGGGCTTCATCCTGGAGGGGTCTGAGCCAGACAGGAGTATGTGTAGATATGCATTTCAGATGGTGGGTTCCGGCTGCTCTGTGCAGAAGCTGGACGGACATGCGTGAGGAAGGGGGCAGTGGGCCACTGGGTGAGTGAAAGGTAGAGCTCCTTTTTCCTTTTACCCTGTGGTGCCTTTTACCCTGTGGTGCCATTGTGGGTGGCACTTACCATCCCGCCATGGGAGAACACTGCCTGGCCCTGGCACACACGTACACACATTGCACATATACACACCATACACATATACCCATACACACTCATGCACACAAACACTGTACATACACACCACACACATACACCCATGCACACACGCACACACCCCTATATATATACACCCATACACACTCACAAATACACCCACACATGCCACACCACATACATATACACACCACACCTACACCCATACATACACACACACAACACACACAGATTCCCTCAGCTCTTAGTTCACTGTCCAGCCCATGGGGGCACGTAATACATGTGGCAGCATGGAATTGTTTGGAAAAGAACAGTCAGCTTTCAAGGGGCCATGAATGGCTAACCTGCTATAGATGATTTTTGTGGTTCCCTCCATCCTGTGGCAGGATGGGGGGGGGTTGCATTTAGTGACTAACAGAAAAATTCCAGGCACAGTTAGAACGCTTTGAAGCAAGTGGCCCCTGGTTCTTAGCAGAAGGTGGGGGATTATAGGTGCCCTTTGTTTAGGCTTCTATTTGCCATCCATAATTTGGGGGAGCTGGTCAGGGGAGTCTCATTAAGCCCATGGGAACTGAGGGGTTTGTCAACCCCTCCCAAAACTTCTGTGGCCTCTAATCCCAGCCACAGAGAGCTTATTCATTGCATTTTTCCTTCCACAGTGAGGGTGAGCCCTTGGGCTGGCCAGAGTCCTAGCTTCACAAAGAGTGCAAGTCAACGCATTCACCCGGACATCCCAGAAGAATCTGACCAAAGCTGGTCATCAGGAAGGATCAGTGCCTCCTCCCCACCTTTGCCTGCCTGGAGGCATCGTCAGTCTTAGCCCTAATGCCCTGCTCCCCTTCTGAAGCCTCCCTGGTCCAGGCAGACCTCTCTCCAAGGATGGATGTTGCAGTTCACCTACCTTGGCTCAGTGCTGGCCCGGCGGGGTCTCTGAGTGATGAGACTGCCTAGGTGGGTGAACACCCAGAGGGAGGGCAGCTGGGCTCCTGGGCTCACTCCCGCCAGCTCCCTGATCACGTCCCCTTTTATAAAGCCCAGGGTGACGTCTCCAAACGTAAGCCCATTCTGCCTCCCTCTCCCTCCTCCTCAGACCCTCAGAGAGCACGGCATCCTGACCGCGGCCCCCGCCTCCTGGCTCTCATGACGATGTCAGCCTCTCCTCCCTCCCAGATCCCCCCACCCAGGGCTGGCTTTCTAATTCTTGCTAGTTCTTTCCATCCTCCACACCCTCTTCCCACCCAGACCACTCACTGGGGGCCCAAATAATGTGGAAATGGACTATTTGAGGAGGAGTGTGTGGTGTAAGAGTGTCAGTGTGAAATGTCTTGTTCCCTCTCTGACAAGAGCCACAGACACCTCCAGTCTGAAGTAGACATGATAAAGGAAGGAAGGGGAGAGGAGAAGGGCATAGGCTGATTCAGGGTCCCCTCCTTCCCCACCTCTCCCAGCTCTGAGACAGCCGGGTCAGCTTGGGTCTCCCAGCGGCTCCTGGGCAGCATCCTGTGTCTGTCGGGGCCGGGTAGGGATTCCCTTCCTCCCTCGCTCCCTCCCTTCCTTCCTTCTCTTCTTACTTCAGTGACTGAGTGCTTCCTCAGCACAGGGTTTTGAGGTGACTATGTATGACATGGCCAGATGGGCAAGACAGGTATGTAAGCAGCTGGCCGTAGGACAACAGAACAAAACAGCAGCTTTAGAAGGTGGATGCACCCGGGAAGTGCTGGGAATGTAGAGGGTGGCTTCCAGGCTCCTGGGGCCCCACCTCCTTGTCTCGTGGCACCCACCATCATATCATTTGTGATTGCTTGTGGACAGCACTTTGAGAGCTAGGATAGGCCCCCTTTCCCTTGTCAGTGGATACTTACTAAATGCATGCTTTGCTGGTGACTCTTGTTTCTTTCTTGACCCTGCAAGAACTCTCTTTGCCCTTGGATAAGAGGTACCCTGGGTAAGCCCTCTCTGGCTCCCTCTCCCTCCTCCTCAGACCCTCCTCAGAGAGCACAACACCCTGACTTCGGCCTATGCCTCCTGGAATCAGGGATTGTTTGCTTTGTCAGAATGGGAGTCTCTGAAAGCAGGGGCTGGGTCTCTACCCCTCAGACAGGAAGCTCTCCCAGTACAAGCTCTACCTGGTAGGTACTCTGTGCCAAAGAATGGCCTAATGGTTGAGAAACGCGCCTGACAGGATGTCCGTTGTCTGGTGCTTACTGCTAACAGAGGCTTGTTGCAAACATTTTATCTCACTCACTAGGACTATTAAATACCAGGACAAAAATTATAACCTATGAGAACGGGACTGACCCTCACAGGCCATGATTCGCCATGGGGAATGATGTGTGTGTTGTCCTGCCCTGAGGCAGAGGATGGACTTAATCGGCTAGAGACTACTGACTCTGAGTTTCAGCCACACTCACAGATTGGGGTGTTTAATCTTCACTTTTCCTCCCATAAATATAGGGTGGGGATGGGATGCCAGCCCCAGTGGGGTCGCCAGGGGACCCTGATCTCTGTGTCCCACAGTCCTGGCAGGCTCTTGAGTCGACTTGGGGATTTGGGGCTAGTTGCTCTGCTCCATCCTTCTTTCTGGACTTGGAGAGGTTCGGATATGACGGGGAGTGAGTCAGTGCTGGGTGCGGGAACTGAGGGGGTGGTTCTCATTTTCCCTCCAGTCCCCTCAACCGATGATCCTAGTTCAAGGAGCTCATCTCTGTTGTTCAGACCATTGAGCTGGTGCCTTGAAGCCTCTGGAACAGCTGTGGGAGCCAAGAATCATTACTCCAGACAAAGAGTAGAGACGAGACTCAATAGCTAGTCTATTACAGAGCTGGCCTTGAGAGCAAGGAGCTGTGCCAAGCAGCGCTGATATCAGAGGGAGTTGCAGGGGATGTGCCCAGCAGGCAGGTAGCGTGAGGTGCTGGCTGTGGAGCCTTGCCAGACTCCTCAGAAAGCTCGTTTTCTCTCAGGTCCTTCAGAGGAAGAGGGGCAGGGGCTGGGGACCACTGGCCATGCCTGCCCCCAGGAGAGGACAGAATCTGCCACCTGCTTTTCCTACTGCCATTAGCTGTCACATATGCTTGGGGCCCAAACTTAGGCAGCTCCCCAGAAATTCCAGGCACTTCCTGGCTGAGTCACCTAGTTTCTGAATCCCTATTTCTTTGGCTTTAATAAGGAGCTATTCATAACTACCTTCCTCTTTGACACACGTAGGCACAACTGCTTGTGGTCCGCTCACCTCTCGTGTTCTTGTCAAGTGGAGGTGTAGGGAGGGGAAGGGGAGCCCAAGGCTGCAAACCTGGGCTGGGGGGAGGGGTCTGAGGAGAGGTGGGGGAGGGTTCAGTGCCTCTGGGGCAGCAGTTTTACCAGCTCCAAATGCTCCCCGCCCCAAACCACCACGGCCAAGCTGCAGGCAAAATCTGCTTACCGCCCTCAAGAGAGGGATGCTGGAGATGTTGCCCAGGAAGCCAAAGGCGACAGGGAAAAAGCCCCTAGAAGCAGAAGGGAGGAGGAAGGAGTCGGTGACGGCCCAGGAGGGGAGGACCGAGGAGGCAAGGATGGAGGTTGAGGTCTACCAAAAGGCTCACACTGCGGCTTCTGGGCACGGGGAGCAGTCTTGGTTCTGCACCCCTGTGTTTTGAGGGGCAGCCTAATGAAGTGATTAAGAGTGAAGACCCTGGGGTCACACTCCTTGGGCTCACATCTTGGCTCTACCGCTTATTGGTGCTGTACACACTTTGGCAAATTCCTTAACTTCTCTGAATCTCGGTTTCCGGCTGTAAAAGGGGACTAATGATAACAGGATAAAGTCCCAACTTCTGCACCCTCTGCTGGGGTGATCTCAGCTACTCAACTGCCCTGGTGGGTCTTTCCAGGGCTATGGGGATTTGCACTCACTTGAACAGGCTAAAGAATCCATAGGTTTCCAGCAACATGCCCAGGAGGGGCCAGCGCAGGAGCACAATGACCACGCCCCCCAGGAAGAAGCTGGTCCCCTTGAGCTTGTGCCGCTGGAAGAAGAATGAGAAGGTCTTCCTTAGGCCAATGATGAGGGAGAGGCCAGTCAGGAACAGCAGCTGCAGGGGAGGGAGAGGAAGCAGTGAAGCACAGAGAGGGGGAACCAGCCATGCAGCAGAATTCCAGAGCCTCAGGTAAGGGGAGTTGGCTAGGAACAGAGCTGTCCAGTGGCCTGGGATGGACAAGGAGAACTTTGCAGGTTTTTAGCTTCCCTCCAAAATCCTTGGATCCTAGGCAATTCTTCATATAAGACTTCATCTCTTTCCATACGTCCTGGGAGAGGTGGGGTAGATAGTCAGGTTCTCTCCATTTTACACAGGCGAAGAAGACCGAGGGCAAAATAGGTGAGGCAGCCACACCCAGAGTCACAAAGAACCCTCAGGGGCTCTACTGCCTGTGGAATGACACTCCAGGCCCTCCACCTTGTGGCCCTAGCACTGCCTCCAGCTTGACTCCTGACGTCCCTAAGAGTGGCTGGGCTCTGTCAAATTGAACTCTCTGGATTTCTCCCAGCAAATCCCAAGCTTTCCTGCCCCTTCTCTATACCTTTCCTCTTGCTGTGCCACCACCTGGAAGTGTGTTATCCACCTCCATACCCTTTCCTTCTCTAGCTGGGTGTGTTCTTTTTCCTCTAAGCCCTTTGTTTCTTTTTTTTTTTTTTTTTGAGTTGAAGTCTCATTCTGTCGCCCAGACTGGAGTGCAGTGTCACGCTCCCAACCACTGCAGCCTCGACCTGCTGGGCTCCGGCGATCCTGTAGTTGGAACTACAGGCGCGTGCTATCACGCCCGGCTAATTTTTGATTTATTGTAGAGATGAGGTTGCGCCAAGTTGCCCAGGCGGGTCTTGAACCCGCAGGCTCAGGCAATCCACTCACCTCGGCCTCCCAAAGCATGGGATTACAGGCTGAGCCACCGAACCCAGCCCCTTTGTTTCATATTAAAGGTGTCTATCTTGTGACCTTATCACTGCCCAACCCTCCCCAGCCATGTAAGTACATGACATATGCCCACCCCTAGAGGGTGGGATTCCGATGGCAAGGACAGTGTCTGATCCATTTCAGAGCCCCAGGGCCTTATCTGGAGCTAGGTCCTCCGATTCTCCGAGCCAGCAGGCTCTGTGGTCCATCTCCCGCAACCCTCTGCCCAGGCTCAATGATATCTGACCCCCACCCCCAACTTCCCTGCCCTGGGATGGACGTGATCTGATGACTCCCCTGGTAATAGAGACCTCTGGAAGTTGGGGCAGGGGAGGTACGCCGGGCTGGAGGACTCACGTTTCCGAAGGCCAGGAGCACCGAATCAAAGTACAGGAGTATTCCAAAGAGGATGAAGAAGATGCCGAAACCGGTGGTGCCCACACCAATCTCTGTAATGGGCAGGGAGACAGGGGTGGGATGGGCTTTGGGAGACATCCCTCATCACCACAGAACAGCTGCCCTTTACAGGGGTGACTCCATTTCTGTCCAGGAATCTCAGGTGCCGAGAAGGGAGAGGGAATGGGAAGGGAGAGGGAGGAAGGCAGGAAGCTATACCTAGCCCCTAGGAACTGTGCTGCCCACTTCCATACATATAATGGCATGTGTCCTCGCAACAGCCCTTGGAGGAAGCTGGTGTTGCCCTCCCCATGTCGTCTTCTCAATTTCCTCCTGTCTGCGGCATTGCCTTTTCCAGATCAGTACCGGACTGGACATAGCCACCTGCCTCCCCCGTTCCTGCCTGGCACAACTGAGAACTGCAGGATCCCAACCCACACTGGGGCATAGGGCATCACTGAAAATTCAGGACCCCCGGCTCCAAAGAGCCCCTGGACCACCCAGCTGGCTTTTCCTCTTCTCCAGAGGCTTCCCTCCCGACAACTCTGCCACTGCCTCTTTTCTCCTCACCCTCCAGCTCGCAGGCGATGAGCTCCACGCTGGACTGGGGAAACAGAAGTCATCAGTCAGGAATGAGCTCATCCTCCTACCTGGGGACCTGCCACACCCCAGCCCACACCTGCTCCCATGGTTCTCCCTCCCTCCGGCAGCAGGCATCCTGGGGGCTCCGCTCCACACCCCTCCACTGACTCTCACTTCAGCCCATGGTGTTTGGCCGTTCTGCTGCGTTTGGACCCACACTGTCAGTGACTGTCCCACCCCACTCCACCGTCTGCAGTGTGATCATCCTTTGAACCTCGAGGAGCTCACACGGAGTCAGCAAGCACGGTACAAAGTGCAGGACATCGAGACCCCCTAGTTTGGTCAAGGGCTACATTTCTGACATTTTGATACATATTTCAGGTGGTTCCCCTCAAGAAGAGTTATGCAATAACAGGATATGAGGTTCCTTAACCCTCTCCATTACACAGAATTGCTAATTTTATTTATCTTTCCCCCTGTGATAGTCAACAAGTGACACTCCATTGTGTTGCTTCATTTTAAGTTGTATTAAATTTTCAAATTTTAAATCGTGGCAAATTGCACATAAAACATAACCTTGACTATCTTACCATTTATTTGTTTATGTCTTTATTTATTTTGAGCTGGAGTCTCACTCTGTCGCCCAGGCTGGAGTGCAGTGGCACGCTCACGGCCACCACAGCCTCAACCTGCTGGGTTCAGATGATCCTTCCGCCTCAGCCTTCCAAGTAACTGGAACCACAGGCACGTATCAACACACCTAGATCATTTTTTGATTTATTGTAGAGACAAGATGTCACCAAGTTGCCCAGGCTGGTCTCAAACCCATAGACTCAGGCAATCCTTTCACCTCCACCTCCTAAAGTGCTGGGATGACAGGCGTGAGCCACCATGCCCAGCTTATCTTACCATTTTTAAACATACACTTCCATGGTATTAAGTACATCTCCCCAGAACTCTTCGTGTTGCAAAACTGAAGCTCTGAACCCATTAGACACTAACTTCCCATTCCTCACCCCTCTCCCCCAGCAAACACCATTCTACCCTCCCTCTGTCTCTGTGAACTTGACTATTCTAGGGCCCTCATAGAAGTGCAGTTATGCAGTCAGTCCTTTGGTGACTGACTTATTTCACGTACCACATCATTCTCAAGATTATTCCATGGAGTAGCTATGTGTCTAACATTCTTTCCTCTTTAAGGCTGAAATATTTACGCATTATATCTACACCTCTCATTTTACTTAAGCATTCATTTGCGGATGGACATCTGGGTTGCTTCCACCTTTTAGCCATTGTGAATAATGCTGCTATGAATATGCGCATTAAAAACGATCTCTTCAGAACTCTGCTTTCAACTCTTTTTGGTATATGCCAAGAAGTGGAATTGCTAGACCTTACGGTAAATCTCTTTTTAAGTTTTTAAGGAACTGCCATTCTGTTTTCCATGTGGCCACACCATTTTACACACCCATCAACAGTACACAAGGGTTCTAATTTTTCCACATCCTTGCTAACACTTTTTCTGCTTTTTAAAATTTTTATTTTTTATTATTATTATTTTTTTTGAGTTGGAGTCTCACTCTGTCACCCAGACTGGAGTGCAGTGGCACGCTCCTGGCCACGGCAGCCTCAACCTGCTGGGCTCAGGCAGTCCTTCTGCCTCAGCCTTCCAAGTAGCCGGAACCATAGGCGCGCGCTACCACGCCTGGCTAATTCTTTGATTTATTGTAGAGATGAGGTCTTGCCAAGTTGCCCAGGCGGGTCTCGAACCCACGGACTCAGGCAATCCACTCACTTCAATCTCCCAAAGCGTGGGATTACAGGCTGAGCCACCAAGCCCAGCTGCTTTTTTTTTTTTTAATAGCAGCCATGCTAATAGATATAAGGTAGTATCCTTATATCCACTTTAGTTTGATTTGCATTTCTCTAATGATTAGTGATGTTGAGCATCTTTTCGTGTGCTTATTGGCCATGTGCATATCTTCTCTGGTGAAGAGTCTATTTAAGTTCTTTGCCCCTTTTTAAATCAGGTTGTTCTTTTTGTTGCTGTTGAGTCACAGGAATTCTTTATATATTTTGGATATCAACTATCAGATATATGATTTGCAAATATTGTCTCCTATTCTGTGGGTTGTCTTTCCACTCTGTTGAATGTGTCCTTTAATGTACAGAAGTTTTAAGTTTGATGTAGTCTGATTGATATTTTTTCTTTTGTTGTCTGTGCTTTTGGTGTCATAACCTAGAAATCATTGTCAAGTTCAGTGCCATGAATCTTCCTCCCATGCTTTCTTCTATGAGTTTTATAGTTTTAGTTCTTGTTTGATCTGTTTTGAGTTAATTTTTCATAGGGTATAAGGTCAGGGTTCAACTTCATTCTTTTGTATGTGGATATCCAGTTTTCCCAGTGCCATCTGTTGAAAAGATTGTTCTTTCCCTACTGAATGGTGTTGACACCCTCATCAAACATTTTATTGGGTTTGTTAGAATTGATCCTCATTGCGTTTATGAAAGTGGTATTATTAGCATGCTTGACAGATAGTTGTAAAAGTGAGGGAGGAAATTATTCTGGTTGTTTAGAGGCGGAACTATAAAAACAAAAACACAAGTATTGAAGTTAGATTTACTGGCTAAGTTTTATTTACAACTGAAAGAAAATGAAACAACACAATCATCTTCCAGGTAGTTAATCCTCTGTAGTCTGTTGCAGAACAGATTTTAAGAGGATTAGGATCAATTCCAATATAGAAATAAGGCCAAAGGTCTTCTTTAGAAGAACTGTCAAAAATACAGCAATGAGATCTATCATTCAAATTATAGACTGAAACCTCATTAACTCATTGTCCAGTGCAATCCAGTCTCATTGGGTCTCACTTCTGGCAGGTGATGAATTGGGTTAGGACTCAGCTACATTTCTCTCAATACACCACTTAGCCGCCCAGAATCCATTTTCTGCTCATGGCTGATTCCTCCAGTTTCTGACAAACCTTCATGATCCTTTTGGGTTTGTTTTCTACTTCCACCTCTCCTGCCTGCCTGAATGAGATCTTTTATAACCCAGGATAGCTGGGCAGAATTCAACTCCTGAAGGCCATTATGAAGGGTGTGTTCTGTCTTTTCATATTGCATATTTCTTTCCTCAGAAACCAAAAGTTGAGGATCTAGAGATTTACTTTGTCATGACAATTTTGTGTAGGCCAGAATATTGTGGAAGAAGACTACACCATAGTTCTTGTTTATTTACTTACTTATTGATTTCTTTTGTAGAGATGGGTCTCGCTATGTTGGTGCCCAGCTCAATCTTGAACTCCTGGCCTCAAGCGATCCTCTTGCCTCAGCCTCCCAAAGTGCTGGAATTACAGGGATGAGCCATTGCACCTGGCCCTCACAACCATATTTCTTCAACCTCAGTGATAAAAGTGCTTTAGGTTTTTATGCTTGTTATAAAATATCAGTTATTATCTTATGCCTGCCATAAAAATAACTGCCATCGATCCTAATCTTGACTATACACTCTTGCCCTCTAATCCTTTAGTAGATGTTTTGGTGTGGAAACACAAGGTGAACATTTTACTGGGTTTTCATTTTGTTTTGTTAAACTATCCATATGTCCATCCTGCACATATTTAAGACCAGCCTCATACTCATTTTTAGAAACAGCATACGTTTCTCAAACTCACACTTTATGTCTTCTCTCCAATATTGTATTTCTTCTGCAACAGTGATGTGCTGGCTTGCATAGTTACCACACTTCCAACTCATTCCACACTCTTCTTCAAGGGCTGATGCAATTCCAGAATCTTCCTGCAATGGGGAAGTCTTCTATGTGGGCCACCGTGCTTCCAGCATTCATTGGGTCACGAAACATGACAGAAAAGGGTCTGCAACTGTGTTTCTCATATGCAAGCATCACACCTTCCTCTGCCTCTTGCTTCTGGAGTAGTTTAGCAGTTTCAGTCAAGGTCCCCAACCGGGGGCTGCTCCTGAACTTCCTTTCACGACAGCAGCCATGGCAGGTTGAGGGCAGGACGGGAGTAGGGGGAGAGCCCTTCAAATAGATACTCCCGCCGGGCTCGGTGGCTCAGCCTGTAATCCCGCACTTTGAGAAGCCGAGGTGAGTGAACCGCCTGACCTCGAGGGTTTGAGACCCACCTGGGCAACTTGGCGAGCCCTGGTCTCTACAATAATTAGCCGGGCGTGGTAGCGCGCGCCTGTAGTTCCAGCTACTCGGAAGGCCGAGGCGGAAGGATCGCCGGAGCCCAGCAGGTCGAGGCTGCGGTGGCCGGGAGCGGCCCCTGCACTCCAGCCTGGGCGACGGAGTGAGACTCCAACTCAAATTTATATATAAATAAATAGACACTCCCAGGAGTGACTGGAGAGCCTGCCATCCATGGTCCTCAGGATTCACACAGCGGGGGCAGCACGCCCCCTGCTGGAGACAGTTGGGGCTGTTACAGCTGTATCCCACAGACAA